AAAAGCATCTTAAAAAGCATCTTAAAATGCAGTTCACACCGTTTTGTGGTGTCAACTCTCATTAAACCTGAACAGAGGTTGCAGTTAAAGCCAGAAACCCAGAAAATAAACCCAGAGCGTTTCTCTGGTGGATGAACACCAGTGTGGCAGGAGCTGAGAGTGTGACGAGTGAGGAAAAGCCAACCAACCCCGCTCTCCCTCTGCTTCTCCAGTGATTTATCTTCTTCTTCTAACTGGGACACAGTGGGGAGGAGGAGGTGGGCAAAAGGGGGTGTCTTATCCCAACAGCAAAAAATAAATAAAAACTATTCCTGCCCCTCTCGATACCCTACCGCCAAACCCTGGAGGCCTGTTCTACTTCCAGCCACCTGGTTGACTTTGCAGCAGCTCAGTGTGTGCGTGTACTGCCCTGTAATTGTGTGTCTTTGAGGGGTAACCTTCACCTGGACATGTGCAGATGGAAAAGAAAATGGATGGAATAATGCCTCAAGCTAAAAATAAAGAGCCACTTTTGTCAGCGGTGATAACATCTCACTCCACACTGTTGAACTGTGCGACTGAAGGCGATTTGTTAAGCCTGACCAGGGGCATAATTTCCTCTCTGTAAATTAAAGATGAAATGTCTGCATTCTGGCCCTGCTATTATCACGGGAGCCTGTCAACAGAAATATGCCAGAGAGAGGGGAGCTGGATGAAAAATGAATCTGCAGTTTGAAGCACTCTTTGGGGATATTTTACCCTGACACATGCATAATATAAGTGAAACTAAAAAAAAATTTTGAATAATAGTTACTGTCCTAATAATTAAAAAGGACTATCAATGCAGAGTAGAACTGAGTTCACTTTACCTGTTTGTTCATTCCTCTTCTTGCTTTATTCTAAGTCTGAGTTTTTTTTACTTAACATATGAGAAATGCCACAACAAAACAATGTCTCTCAAACAGGCAGAAATGTTTTAAAAGTGCCATTTTTTCCACAGAAACGTAATGGGAAAGAAAATCCTCTGGGATTGAACTAACATGAAAAAGCATCAAATGTTGCAGCTCTAGTGTGAAAACACACGTGTGCTGCCATGAAACAGGAAGTCAAGTCATGTTTAATCAAATCGGTGAGTAAATGGTGAATGGTAAATCTATATAAGAAAACAGTATAGACATCATTTAAGTTTTTGTATGAACAATATAAACTTAATAACCAAATAAAAGCACAATTAAAGTGTGTTTACAGTAACTGGAATTAATCTGATAAATTATATGCTAACAATGCTTTAAGACGCATTAAAGTCACTACATAAATCTCAACCACAATGTTAAGAATTGCCTAGAGAGTGGACCACCTAGGGTGCATCAAGAATGCAGAGAGCACCCCATCAAAGTTGATGGAGCCTGACAGTTTCCAGATAGCTTTTATTATGAAAAAAATGTTTGCAGTGCAATGGTGCAATGGTGTTACATTACTGTGGTGACAACACATCTGACTGCAGAGTGCTACGTGGATTATTGCAGCAACATGTTGACATGTTGCCCACACACACCAACCAGGCTCGGTTATCAAAGAAGGAAGAAGGGATACATTTAAAAACCATCATGTTATCCTGGGAATGATGAGACAAAAAGAGGCTTGATCTAACATTTTGCATACAGAATGATATATGTTGAACTGCTCACAGATAAAGAGTAGAAAAGCCCCACCTCCAAACTGCAAATATATGGTATAATGGGCCAGGGAGAACAAGGCCAGTTGCATGTTTTCAAGCTCAGACACAAAATGTCTTCATTGTACAGTCAGAGAGAAGTACTTGTCTTTACATGGTCAGGTAACAAGAAAGAAAATTTGAAAAAGAAAAACAAATTTAAGACTAATTTGGCTTTTATTAGTTGCAATATGACAAAAGATGTTAAATTAAAAACCTTTATTATGGAATTTGAAGGAAATTATTCCTTCCAAATAAACTCACAATAAAGGCCCAGTTGTTTAGGTCAAATTAAAAATGATTTTGGATTATTTGGAGATGAACTGCATCCTCTCATACAACTGAAAAGCTTCTTAGAAAACGTATAATGTTTTATTACCCTTAGCTGTGTAGCATAGCGTCAGGATAGTAGTGAAAGCCTACTTTAAAGTGCTGTGCAAGACAATTATGACTGTCTTGACGTTTAAATAAAATTTAGTTTTCCACATTTCAGTGTCATTTGTTTTAAAGATCATAAAAACTAACTGCATGCTCTAAAGAAAACCCAAATACTCTCAAATGCATTGGAGTAAAGAGTCCTAAAGCAGTGACCATGTTTCAACTCAACAGGATAAATATGAAATTATATAAAGAAAAAAAAAAGAAAATCCCCAAGATCCTTGCAACAGGCAGAAAAAATAAAATAGGAAGTGGAGCAGCTTTAGAAGTTCGATACTTTAAAGCTGATAATCCATTTCATTATTTTACCTACAAAACATTCTCAATATTTTAAGATGCTAATTTATCTTTTTCTGGCCATTTTCTTTGCTAAAAATCAAAGGTCAAACCAATTTTTCCCCCACAGACAAATGTTACATGTTTTCCTGTTTTTAAATGTGAAACAATCACATTTAATTAGAAAAGCCATAGTCATAGCAGCAGCACAGAGGCTTCTTGAGAATGTAATTACCATAGCCTTTTGTAAACACCACCTCCTTTCCCCTTGGCATCTTATATACCGATAAACCCTTCTGTTATTAAACCAAGTTAATATTGACTCTGACAAGATATTTTCTCACCTTTAAGCTTAGTGGCCAATATTTCTGTTTGCTGCCACTTAACCAACAGTGTTGTATTTCAGCTAAAAAAAATCATATATACTGCCATGAATTTGTTATTGCTATGAAATTGAGACTAGGTCTGTTTGAAACACTGAGGCAAGAGCAACAACGGTGGTCACCTGGTCTCGGAGACGATCGGTTTCCTCCTGGTATTCTGCCAGCTGCTTCTTCCACTGCTCTACGCTGCTGTTGGCTTCTTGAAGCGCTGACACCAGCTTGGCATTGCTGTCCTGCAGAGTGAAGAGTTCAGCCTCCAAGTTGATCTCACACATGGACCTGATAAGATGACCAACAGAGGGCTACTTAGAGACATTCTACTTTGATAACCGATTGTAATCTTTCAAATTTCATTACTGATGGTGGCAATATAAACTCTTAAGTAAAGGTTATAAAATGAAATAAAACTCTAGATTTTTTTGCATTTTTAATATACCGTATATAAATAATATCTGTAACTTTAAAGCAATGCATAAACTGATATCTTTTATTTGAGTGTGGAAATACAATTTTTAGTTTCCTGGAATGAATTGAGGAAAATCTGGGATGAAATGACATCATATTTGCAGAAAGTGTCATTTGATGAGGGAGCAAATTGACCCAAAGCTGTCTTCCTCAGCAGTCACCTGAAATTTGTTTAGGTGCCTGATTATTAAGTTTAGTTATTCAGGTCAGTTTCAAGGTGGATCATTGTTGAGACAAAGGCTGTTTCCCCGGTTATGTTGAAACAGCCTTAAAATGAATATGTGTACCTAGAGTGCATTTATTAAATGGGGTAACAATCCTACATATAGAGCTATTACCAAAATATTGGTGATATAATAGTTCAATCTGAAAAGCTTGCACAAAGAGAAAAGACAATAAGGAGAAATTTATTGATACAATTACTTTTTCTTTGGCGCTCAGACCTCAGCAGGAAACATAGCGCTTAATTTTGATACATATGCATGAACAGGAGAAAAGAATAGGGCTGTATCCCCCAGGCCTGAAACTGGTGGTGGAGTGGAGATAGATTAAGTTGGTCAGGCTGTAGACTGCTGGTTAGCGAGACAGTATGCTGAGCTTTATGGGGAGATCCAGTGAACTTGCTGAGCTGATACTAAAGCTTCACTCAGGGACCTGGAAGATGGAAGGCCAGTTTGGATAACACAGGTTGAGAGAACCTCTCCATGATGAGCAAGCATGCAGCAACAGTGGAGAGGAAAACTCCCCGTTTGGAAGAAACCTCTGGCAAAACCAGGCTCAACATGGCGGTCTTATGCTGGACCGGTTGAGATGAGACAGGGAACGCAGAAAGAGTCTGGGAGAAAAGACACTCTGATGAAGCTTTACATACGAATGTGGAGGAGGGGCTGGAGGTGGGTTAAAAAGGGGTCATCTGAATAAAGTCACAGCGCATCCGCCACCTGCGCACATGAGCAGACAGGTGCCTATCGGAGGCCTTTTAAGATGAACTTTGGATGCCGATTGGCTTTCGTGGAGGTGTGGTTCAAAGCTGATTGGCTGTGTCGTAGGTGGATGTAGGAGACAATGAGTTTCTTCATTTGAACTTCCACCTAGGATCCATTTAACCCCTTAAACAAAATATTTCTAAATAAAATATTCTCTGAAATCATAATGAGGAAAGACAGGCAATCTTAGGACAGCTAATTTTAAAAACAACTATGCTATGATTGTTCACAAACTATTTTGCAAGAAAATATTGTTTTCTATCCTACCATCACAAATCTGAACATGTGAGAGGGCTGGTCTATTCAAAACCCTGCGAAAATCCTTTGACTTCAGCTTGAATTTCTTTAAAATACTGCATGTAAATTATACAACTGCAATGAAAGGTTTTATTTTATTTCAAAAACTTTATCAGGGGTGCCAAAAAATGTGGCCAGTGCCACGTACTATACTACATAAGTGTGTAGCTGTGTTGTTGATCTAATCTAATACAACCAGTTGGCATTTAAACAACTCAGTAAGTAATTAAATCAGTATTAAAGTACAGCAGTGATTGCCTTTGTCATTTTTTTAAGGATTCAGATTTTTAATATGAACCAAAGCAGGTCAGCATGTGTCTTCAGGAGTGGAAAATTACACATCTGGGTCGCATATAAAAACCAACACCAGGCAACAAATGTGTTCTGCTTTATTATTAAATGGGAAAGATCTGGTGTGCCGATAAAGGTCAGGATTCAGCGGGGATAATTAATAAAGCACTGAGCTCTCAGCTGAGAAGATGCAGTCCAGAAGGATATCTTTGTCTTGACGACAAATCAGCTTGGCCCTCATAAAACCATAGCAACACCAGGGAAGAGTCTGCTTAGGCTTATGAAAATCATAAAGTAAAATCTGAGGGATAATGGGCTGCAAGGCTACAGAGATGGGCTGTTCTGTGGCCTGTTTTCACATGGAGGGTTTAGTATTTAATAATGAACACCACAATGAAGCTTACTGTCTGCTAAGGTGAGCAGCATTACCCTATTTTACCTAAAGCCCCTCAACAAGTTACAAGGTTCTGCAAGGGAGTTCTGGACAAAAAATAAATAAATAAATAATAAATCTTAAGTAAACAGATAGCTGAAAACCCAAAAAATATATATTTTTTTCAGTAAAATGATGGCTAATCTACAAAGCATCCCTGTCTGGTAAGAGGTAAAATCAGGTGAGAATTTCTGGTGAAAAAAAACAACTAAAGTTAAATTAAGAAAACAACTGTATTTCAGTTCTTCTAGTTGAAGACGTTTCGTTCTTCATCAGAAGACTGTCCTCAGTTCCCATCCGTCCATAAACTGGATGACTGACAACCTAAACCAGCATACTTTAATAATTGGTTCCTGGGGGTCTGTATGGCAGATCTATTGTTTTTAGTTCATGGGATGCGGCCACAGGAATATCTTCACCCAACTAGACCCCAGCTGGTACTCATTTCTCTATGTACAAAGCTCTGAGTAAAAGCGTCCCAGTTTTCCTATATAACGGCACTAAAATAGAGATTCTAAACCCAACTGTTCTTAATTTTTAATTTAAATCAAAAGGGCAATTATTGTTTTGCAGTTTCTATTGCCATTGGAGTAATAAATGCGTTAATGACACATTTTTTGTCATTTATCAGCCTTTGTTTTTAAATCTTTCTTTATATGTAGATTTCAGCAAAGAGATAAAATAACCCAATACATTTGGCAGAGCTTCTAATGCTGCATATGCAGCTTTACTCTTAAGTCGTTCCTCTCAGTGTTTTTTGGACAAAATGACACTGGCTGAACAGAAACTTGTGGTGTGAAAAAAACAAAAACGTTCACATCACTGGTACTAAGATAGTGTTATTTTTAAAGTGCACAGGTTAACAGCCATGTAAGAAGCACCATTCAGTCTGCTCACTGCTGAACTCTGGATCAGAGTTGAGATGAAGTGGTCAGTCACACAGCGTCAAAGGCTTCACATTAAATGCGCAGCAGCAGCCTATGTGAAAGCAGGCTAGACTAGTGTAGTCGGACTAAATCAGCTTAAAACCCAGGTAATCGCCCAGCTCATGTAACTCTGTAAAGGATTATTCCAGGTTTTTTCTTCAATCTCCCCCCAATCTTTGATTTTCCTTAGCTGATAGCTGCCATGAGTATAAGAAACAACTGATTTATTTTAGATTGTTAACAATCAATCATGTTTTCTTACTCTCTTCTTCTTTTTGTCTGCAAAACATTTAGTACTTGTTCTGGGTTTGTGTGTGACCTCCTGGATGAGTCTTTGATGCTCTCTTTGAGTTTTGATTAGCCAGCCGCTTCTGAGAAGGTTCACCAATGGTCCCTGCTTTCTGCTTTTGGATAACAGCTCTCACTTTGGTCTGATGGATTTGCAAAGCCTTTGAGATATCTTTGTAACAGACAGAAATATCTATCATCAAAAATGTTAGTTTATATAGTATCAGTTGTAATCTCAAGGCTTTTTATAGAGAAAATCCAATCAAGTCATACAGTCGGATTGGTTAAAAGGAATAAACAGGAACTAGAGGAAGCAAACTAGCTTGGACTATGGATCAGGTATGGGCCGAGGTTTTTATAAATGTGCTGCAGGCAGAGACGTTGTGGTTATTTTGCCATGTCAGCAAGTATTAGTGATGTGATCCATGTTTTTGAAAAAGTCATTAACTACCTTAAGCTTGTGTAAAAAACTTGTTTGGAAATTTAGTTAATTGATTAAAATGTTCTAGTTCTTTAAACACGATACTTCCTATTACACATCTAAAAAACTGTGATAGAAAGTCTGCTGTCGCATTACAGAAACCCCCTCACACCAAGAATGCAAAAACTGTCTTTCAAAAGGAGGAAAAACATCCAACGGAACCAGGTTGACCTTGAGAACCAGTCATGTTGTCATGGTGTTTGATTTATTGATTCTTCATGTCTGGCAGTAATCACACCAGATGACTTACCAAGTAAGTTATGATTTTTTTTTTATAAAACCTCAGGTTACTTTGGAAAGCATTTTACCCCCAACAAATAAAATCGATGTTTAAATAAAGGCCATTTTGTATTTGTTCAAAGAATCTAAGTAGGATGTTGAAATAAGTTTTATGAATGGAAATTTTTTTATGCGAGGAAAAAAAGAAAAACAGAATCAGCAGCATCCCCAGCATAGTATTACAAATATAAATTTACAGATATTTATTAGCTCTGGTTTATAAAAAGCCAGACCTTTAAATAAAGGCTTTTACTACCCTTCAGACAGCATCTTTTTAACCCGTTCCTTCTCGACAGTCAGCTCCACTTCTGCGCTCCTGCTGCGAAACAGCTTTTCCTCGCCGGGCCCGTTAACTGTCAGCAGTGGTGGAGAGTGACGCTCCTCTGACAGCTCCTGCGGCGCAACATGAAGTTGATAAAACAAAAAGTTATTCTTATGACACCAGCTCTGTTGCTAGCATGAAATAAGAAGCAGAACTCTATCCTATGATGTCCTATGATGAGTCACAATAGGTAAAACTTCCACATAAACATATAAAAGTCCCTGTAGGGTAAAGTGCCAGTTAAAGTGGTCATAATCCTTGACATTTTTCAATATTTTTTCCATCACAAAAACATACTTTGTTGTATTTTCTATGAAAATACCAATTATTTTTATTTGACTAGATTTTCTATTTATTTAGATTTTTTTTATTTTATTTAGATTATATCAATACATTTAAGCCATGATTGAAATCATTGTTGGTTGCAATAATTACCACAAATGATTGAGAGAAAATCTTAAACCCATTTAAAACATACTTGTAATAAATGCAGAAAGCAGGTAAAAACAAGGTACAAAAAACACACTCAACAGTTGTGCACGTTATATTGTCAAAGCATTTTTTATTTTTATTTTGAGATTGGAATTTGAAAATGTTCAAATTATGTCAATCATTATGCATGGCCCTGAGCAGATTAACAGCTTGATTAAAAAACATAAGTATGAATAGTAAATTTTTTATTTTATTTTTTACTTTCCACACATTCTGGGGAACATTAACAAGAATATTCTAAAAATAACTATAAAGAAAAAGCACTAATTTAGATTGTTAAAGCCAAATTAATAATATAAAAAGATTGCTTCATCATTTATTTGTCTTAAACCGTGTCTAAGTCTAAACTAAGTCTTTAATATTGTATCCAGAAAGGCAGGAGAGCAACATAGGAGTGAGCTCAGTCTGCTGGTGCAGCACATGTCCCATCTGGGCTCCTGTAAACAACCCCTAAGCAGAACAAGTAGCCATGTGTGCAACCCAGCTGTTTTTTCTTTATACAGCCTTGCAGGTTTGATTGGACTCAACAAGAAATAATTAATGTGCTGATTCATGTTCCGTGGCTTCATCTGGTGTTTGTGTGAATAAAAAGTATTTATTTAAGCATGTCACACCTCAGCTTGAGGGTCTGATGAGATTTTACGTTTAAAGCATTTCAGCAGCAGTCAGGACCTCAACATTGGAACAAAATAAAAAATTGTATGGGCCAAACTTAAGGTATACGATTTTTAACAGAAACAATAATTTGATATTGAAATTAAAATATGAATTTATTTTAACAGAGCATTCACTACCTTATTAGAATTTAATATTCATTAAAGGGACAGTGTAACTAATTTTTAAGTGTCGCTTTAAAAAAGACATATTTTTCTAAAGCCTAATAACAGTTGCTTAAATAAATGACAGTGTAAACTTAGCTTAGAATGAGTTGCTTATAAATACATAGTAGGTGTACAAACTCCCCAGTAATATATGACTAAAATTTTCTCTGCAAACTGTGTAGAAAAAAACACTTTTAATCCATCAACAAGCTTCTGGCATGACTCTGGCTGGCTATTTTAGCCGTCTTCCTTGCAGAAATGTTTGAGTTCATTTACACTAGTTGACTGTTAATCATTGCCTCATCATTTAAACATAGGCAGCTGTTACATGGTTTAATGTCATTGAATCATTATCTCATTAGTATACCCATCTTTATCAAAATAAACCAGAGGTTTATACAACTATTGAGTTGAGTTATCAATGAACTTAGATGCTCTGTCTTTTATATATCAAAAACTTTGTGTAATTAACAAATACCACTGGGGGAAAACAGACCGCCCTGCATGATGCCACCACCACCATGCCTCAGAAATATTACAGTTCTAGTGGGTTTTAAAAACCTCGCATCACCTCATACAAACATTTATTTTTACTGGGCCTATTAATTTCAATCTATGTTTTCTCCAGGGGGTAAATGGCTTATCCAAGAAGACCCCCACAAATTTCTATCAAGCTCAAACGTGTTTATCAAATGAGCACATTATTGTTAAAAGGAAAAGAAAAAAATTGAAATCACAATGAAAAGATTAATTAAGACATTGGTTCCACAAAAAAACTAAACAAATTAAAACTTTCCCATTAAACTAACCCACCTATATGAACCTGAGGAACTTTGACAAAATGAAAAATCAAATATCCAGCCAGAATATGGTCAGGATACAGCTTCTAATGGATATTCAGCAATTAATAATTCCAAATATGGAATAAAAAAAGTCAATCACCATTTTAGACCTAATGCTTTCAAAATTCCCTTTAGTGGTTTTTACTATATTCATTCCAGGCTAGAAAGAGAAAAGCTGTATCCGGGCATCATATTTGGCCACTGTGTTGTGAAACCGAGCAGATGAATTATCTCTTTTTTCTTTCTTGCATAAAACCTAAACTTGAACTCTTAATGTTACAACCCTGCACTGCAGAGAGAGCTTTTATTATTCATATGAAAGAGCATGGCTGTACTCTCCAGAGGACTAAAGTTGATTTTCTTTTAGCTCAGCAGCTTTCTGTTTATGTTTTTTTTTTTCTCTCTGTGGATGGTTGTGGAAGTAAAACACATAGCTAAGTCCTGTGGATAATCTCTTGGTTCGTAGGGGAGGAAAAAACGACTTTGGTCCAGCGCTGAAGCAGACAGATCAGCGGGGTGTTATCAATGAATTATTCATACCAGAGATTAAGTTAAGTCACTACAGATTTAAAGTACTTGTTTTATATACACACACTCCCTGAGAGACTGAGATACAAAGTAAATGGTTTACAGCAGAGACTTGCAAAACCAATAATTCATAGAGAAAGGCATCTTTTTGCCTTTGTATGATTTAAAGGCTGTACATATTTAAATAATACATCACTAATACACTCACATCCTGTACTGCTGTTATTGCTTCCATCTCTTACTTGTTTGCCATAGCTAACTTTGCTCTGAAGTCACTTTGAACAGAGTAAAGATGAAATATTGAGCCTGATAGGCCATGCAACATTAACACTGCCATTCCAGTGAAACTCTTGGCGGCTTATCTTTTCATTGCTTCGATTGTTGTGTGGAGTGTGGGCCGTCACGCACCTGCGAGAGCTGAGATGGATGAACATGTCCCAAGCCGCAGCATGAGGGAAAACACAGAAGACAGAAAAATGAATTAGATAAAAAAGAAAAAAAACAAACAAACATAACAAGCATTTTAAAAACACAGGGAGCCATCTGTTTGTCTTGCACTGGAAATATTCTGTTCTTCATGTAAATCTAGAGCTATGGTTTACTTTCTCTGTTTGACTGAAAGGTAAACTTGCAGCATAAAAAGTCTAAAGTCAGTCATAAACAAATAATGTAACCCTTTTGTGGAGTATTTTATCTGAACCATTAATATAACTTGACATGATAGTTCTGAATTCTGTTCTTTTTTTGGTACCGACCATATTCCATCGATACTACCAAACACCTATTCATGTAAAATCAAATAGTACCATGTTTCAGCACCCAAACGCATCATTACGAGGCAGAGCAAATGGAAGAGGGGTCGATTTTCCATGAACACAGCTTTGCACGAAAAAGAATGTGATGAAAAGCCACTCCTACAGCAAAAAAAGCACGGCTAACAGAAATAATGTAAATTTTAGGACTTAAGCGCACATTTTTTCAAAAGGCTAAAGAGTGCACAGTTTTCAACAGCCTCGGATCCACAGCCACAACACCTGCATATAGCACAGTAAGCAGCCATTACCAGCTCATTGTCTATAGCCAGCAACATGAGGCAGCAGCATCATCTTTGTCTGCTTCAGGTAAATAAGTCTAGTGTTTTAGATTATGTTTGCATGTGCTGAAAATCAGCACTGCTGAGTACAGACGGATTCCCAGGTATCAGGAATCAGTACCGTATTCATTTAAATGTGAACGGTACCCATCCATATACACGATGTGTGTCTAAGGCCTAATAGTATGTTGCTTTATCGATTGCTTTGACAGCAATTGAGGATTCCTTTCAATTGCTCTTTATGCAGAAAACAGTATCCATGGTTTTTTTCAGAATCTCAAATTTTTTATTTAATTACCCCATATAGGCAGCTGGATCATTGCCCTGCTCCATATTCCAAGTGTGCTTAATGCCTGGACATTCTGCTTCTGGAGACCAGCATTCATAGGTACATCGCCTACAATATCTTATGCTGGTGCTGTAGCATTAGCTCTGCACTATATTAGATAATAATATAATAATATATGAGTTGTCCATGTACTCTTGGAGCAATTTTGGTAGCACTACAGCTGTTCTACGCTTAAAGACGTGAGTCAGGACAGGTACTAAACGTTTCTTTTACATTTATTTTGTCTTGTAAATATTACAAAATTGTTTTAAACTCCACAAAAACATTTTATGTGTTAACCGGAAATACAAATTTAACTCCAAGTGCAAATTTAACTTGTTCACTTTTGTGAATATATGTCACCACTTTATCAGTTTTTCTGCATTTGTGGATAATAAACATCACTGTGGTCGGCATGATTCCCAGAAAATCACACTATACGAAATGGCTCAAAAACCTTTCATAGATCAGTCAATATCAATGACTTTGTCCTATGTTGCTGGATATCCTTTAGATCAGGGCATAATGTATTGCTTTTTGAAATTGTTTAGCCTAATTCCTGTAGTCAGACAGGTTCTTGTTGGGCAGTAGTCAGGGATGTGTGTGACTAAATGAAAAACGCCAGCTTTCCACAGGAGGTTAAGTAAAGAATATTCATGATTAAAAAATATTAGAAGGCAAATTTGGATAGGTTTTGTAACTATCAATTAAGATGCCCTTAAAATATGTTTTATGTAACCCACCCCCACCCCCACCGTGCCTCTCAGCAATGGGAATGAATGTTGATTGAAAAGAAAGTGAAGCCTGATTACTATTGTCATATTATTGCAGTATTCAAAAATAGCATCACAACCGCTTCTTTTCTTACTACTGTGCAGGCCTAATGTAATCCACACTGTAACACTGATGGTAACCTGCTGGTTTAAAATTTAAACAACCATCCTGATAGCTTTTATCACAATGTCTCTGCAGTGCTTAAGTACATCCACGTTCTTTACTTATTTATCCCAGCATCCGTCCATCCGTCCCCTCAGCTTTCCAAAGTTTCCGTTTCTACATCCTGTGTTTCAATGAGACCCGTTTTACTTATTCATGCATCGGCTAGGGTCTCCCTTCACTCACCTGTCCTGCCCACCAAACAACACACTGCAGTCACATGCAGATTCAGCTCCTTTAGGTTTTTTTAAGCCTTTAGAGTTAGTAGCTTGAAATATTGATATGTTGGCTTTTGCTTCTTCTTCTGCCTCTGCAAAGGTTTACCCATGTACAGTAAGGAGGGAACAAAAGGCATACCAGGCGTAGCCTTTTATAATTTGGAGATGGGTATTTACATTTACTCAGCAGTTTTTAGCTGCTTCTTTCCCTGAAAAAGAAGCTTAACTCTACACTTACAATAAAACTAATAAGTTTGACTACTTTAGGTTCTATAGTGGAGCCTGTCAATCTTTTTGCTGAAATTTAAAGTTACATATGCAAACAATAGTTGTTGCCAAAATTCCTCAAAAGTTCTGTTTTTCAGTTTGATTTAATTTTGACTAATAGAAAAAAGGCAGCTGCTTTCTTTTTTTTTTTTCTTTCTTTTTTTTTTCTTCTTTTTTTTTAGTAGGTTAACTTTCTTACCAGACAAATTAAAACCAGAATTTTTTAAAACTGCTAAACCGGTCTCTGAAGATCTAATTACTGTCCTTCTGCCTGTGTTCTGGAGGTACAATTTGTCATTTTTCATTCTCATCTGACTGAGTTCTGCATCTCATGTTTGAGCTGTGTAAATAAGGCTGAAAGCTGGAGCTTTACTGCCGGCAGATCCCCTGCTGCTGCTTGCCTATCAGAGGCAGAACATGCACTCTGTGAAGCTTGAGGCTTCAAAGATACGGCTCTGCATAGCTGTAGCCCCCCACACTGACCATGACTGCTTCTGAGCAGATGGTTTGCTTCCTTACCTTCAGCTATTTTGATTAATATTTGTTCACTCTAGGTTGTATTCTTTATATTTTAACAATCATCGATGTGTGAACATTTCGTCATACAAAGAATGAATATTCAGTAGGTAGTTCAGATTATCCTCACATAACTGTACATGTGTCAAACAACAGACACATAAAAGCTCAAACTGGAGAAAAAAATGGAAAAAATGACTACTCATATGTTAGGGAGGAGTTAAGACATCTAGAACTACTTTCACACATTTTGCAATTGCTTATGCAGTTTGATAATTGTGTTCTAACAACAGGCATTTTACTTTACCTATGTACCACAGAAATTCTGTATCACGGCATCATTCACTCTAAGATCAGGTTTCAGTTTACTTGTTTTTATTCCCGTTCTGATCAGTGTTTTTCTCCACCCTGTAAAAGCAATAGACACCTTTCTGTTAGCCAACTAATTAAGACAAACGCAGCCGTCTATAACCACTCCTTCTCTGCATGCTGCACACAGCAGGAGGCTGCTCCTGTAAGATTGGTTTTCACAGCTTGGATTCCTCTGAAGCAGCATTTTGATAAGAATTTCTGATTTTTTTATGGTTAGGATCACAGCAGGAACAGTTAAAATCAATCCCATCAAACTCATAAATATGATTGCTGTGATGCTGACAAAGTCTTGATTAAGACGAAAGAAAGATAGTTCTGGAAATTGTTTGTTTTAAACTACTTCAATTCATTAAAGTTATACTTGTTTTTGTTTGTTAGCTTTTTTACTGCAGAGATCTCTGAAATATAGATATTAAAATTAAAATCAGGTCTGAATCTTGGCTGTGCTTTCGCCAAACAACAACTCATTATCCAGTCATTTGTAGCTTGACTGCAATACTTCAGATTTGAACTAAAGATTTAAATAAAAAGAACCTTAAATCGTACAGATCAAAGCTAATTTACAAAAACAGGGAAAAAACTGGGGTTAATTGAAGAGACATCTTAGGAAATAAGGGAAGACTGAACTCTTCTGCATAATCATTTAGGCAGTCATATTAACAGTAAGGTTTCTAGGTCCCATGCTGCAAAAAATCCTTAGTCATTATTTATACCTAAACGCTTGACAGCTGATATGAGAGGCTTGTACCATCATGCTGTGTAAGAGAGTTTTCTAACACAGTGCAGTAGATTAGAGCCAAGCATTTCCACTTTAGCCTGAACGATGTTGTAGAAGTCCTGCAGTTCACTGAATGCAGGACCATCCGCATGTTTATCATGGTGTGATAATGGGGAGTAAATTGAAATGTTTTACACTGTTGTTTTATTTAGACAGAAATGCAGAAACAGAAATGGGTTAAATGGTCCGTTTTCTTTGTATTTGGGTCTGTTCCATCTGTTGCATCTAAATTTAGAGTAGATGTATTTTTGCATTGCTTGGTTGCTTTTTTCCAAGATTTCTTTTTTCAATGGAAAAACAGTTGTTCTATAGTTTACAATGAAACAAATCCTTTTAACAAAAATCACAACCTAGCCAGAATTACTTCAAGTAATCACTACATATCCGCCTCAACATAAGGTAATAACATATGTAAATATTTTCCACGTAGGATATATGTCATTAAGAAAGGCATGTGACCAAACCCTAATCATGCAGCTTCCTCCACTCTTTATGGGTTTTAAATCTTTCTATAGTCTTTGCAGCAAGAGCAATAATGGTTGAACTGACTGGTCAAATGGCATGCAGAGTGTGACTGAACAGGATTTTGTAATAAACTGTATTTCAATAATTGCATACAAATAGCTATTTAGAAATATTACACAATGTGATCATGCAATTAAAAACTGGGAATCAGTTTATCATTAATCTCTACCAAAGTCTAAAGTTACAAAGCTGTTATTTTTGTGTTTTTGAAAACTGCATGTTTTATTCATCCTTTTTTCATTAGAGCTGTCATGAACTTTACTTTCTTACAGGTGACTTAAGGAAGGAGTCTAAGATGAAACTTTCAAGGATTTTTGCCTCTGAAACTCAGACGTTCTAACATCAAGGTGAATCTACTACACATGCAATCAATGAGTCTTTGTATTTTTGTAGCAAACCACAGCTTTTTAACAGGTAGAAAGAATGATAGAAAAAAGAACCAAGATGAAAACTAGAAGCTATTTTACAGAGGAACCCACAATGATCAGAATGAGACAATTTCACCTGATCAGCTCCTTGAATACATAAAAAATGAAATTTTGTTTTGTTGAAAGCTTTAATGAAACAAAACGGTGCAGTGCTAGGACCATATGATTTGAAGCATAAAAAATTATAATCATGTTATTCTTTAATATTCCGTTTAACTCATAACCGAACCACCAAAAAAGAATCTGCAGCATTTTGATACAACTAAGAAGAAAGTCTTAGGTGGAAACTGGTTTTAGACAGGAAAAGCCTCATGAGTGCATTTCTAGCTAGAATCTATGTTTGCATAAATAGCTTCATTCATAACATTTTAAATAGAAACCTGCCTGTGCTAAAACGTGCCATATATGATATTAGTAGCAACAAAACCCATTGCATCTCTCATTCAACATGTTAAATTTTCCCATCAGGGGGCAGGGGTTATTATTACTGGTCCTCTCCAGAAAACTCACTTAGAGCGTTTGCCACAAATCCATTATCTGGGCCAATAATGCTGAAAGCAAGGCTGCAACTAATGACCGTTTGCAAATCAAATAATCTGTAGATTATTTTATAGATTAATCGATTAATAATCGGATAACCAACAGTTCCTTAAAGAAGATTTTATAGGAAATAATACCAGGTGAAACTAAAACAATAAAAAACATTCTGGATAGGGCATATTGACAGACAAAAATTTTATTTTTTTTATCTTAAATGAAAAATGTTTTCATTTTTTTTTACAATCTTGGTATTATTACTGCTCTAAGTGGGTCGCTCTGTCAGCTAATGGCATGTTTTACAGTCTCTGTACTCCATTTAACGATTAATTGATAACTAAATTAGTTGACGATTATTTAAATATTCAATTTATCATGATTAATTCGATTGTTTCAGCGCTAGTTGAAAGTTTATCTGTTTTTCTTTATATCAAACCACAATTAAAATAAAGCCATCATATTCTATCCATCGAGGTAATATAGTATCATAGATGAAAATTCAGCAAGAATTTATCAAAAGATAAGTCAACCCCAAACCTGGTAATCTCTAAACTACTTCTGTGCAGCTGAGTTCTGCAGCAACAACCAGAGAAAAAACTGCCAGATTTGTTTTAAACTATTATTACTACAAGGTGTCCATTAAATGTCGCACACAGTGATAAAACATTGCTCCAATTCTGCTCTAGCTGTCTTGGGAAGCTGACCTTATCGGTTTTGATGCTGTGAGGGTTGTTGCGTCCAGAAGAGGTTTCTCTCAGCTGGGCTAAATAAATGACTGAGACAAACCATCAGCTCTTATCTGAGTGTTTCAGAGCTGAGGCCGCTGCTGGCAGCTTGACTCTGCACTCTCACAGACCTGCTGAGTGGTTCTTTGTTAAGACTTACACTGTGGCACAAACCTCAGTGCAAAAACAATCACTGCTCTGTTTTGAATCCATGTTAAAACTCCAAGGAAACAGAGTTTCATACTTGGCAGAAGTAGCTCGTAAACAAAAACCACTCTGGGATTTCCTGTCTATTTTGTTAAATGTATTTCTCCAATTTTGCAGAATGAATTCTAGTCCTTCTAACTTTTTGAAAGTGTTTGTGTGTTATTCTGCAACAAGAAACACAATTGTGTCGGTTATTATCCATTGTGAAGGTGGAATGATTTTGAGGAAAAGGCTTTCATGGACCTCACCAAGAAACCAGCAGTTCCAGCAGGATGAAAGTTGCCAATAGCTCCAACAGCAGACGCCAGATCCCTTTCAATTATAGATGATTCAGCTCCCCTTTTTAACCTCCCTCCGCCTGTTACCTCATTCTTCTTTCTTTCAGTTTTCATCATTACTGCCCATCTGCGCACCTTGAGAACTGACATTTTCCAACTCAAAACCTCCATTTGTAATGCATGAATTATTTTAATGGAGTTAACCGAAGAGGGAATAATGGAGCAACCAGATGGGGATTGTTCTAATCCCTGGTGGGTTTATGTGTGTTTCAAATAGAAACCATTGGGCTGGATAGTACTGCTCTGCTGTCAGATTAAAACAGGGGTTAAACGGGCAGACCATAACGTCTTTCTAAGATCACAGATTTGGCAGAAACACTTGGAAAATACTGTTCATCTTTAACCTTATCCAAGACCTGAGATCAGACAATAGTAATGTCCATCTTCTGAACAAAAACATTCCCTCAAAGTGATTTTTCAAAGTCAAATTTCCTGACTTGAATAAGTGTTACTCAGCCTCAGATACAAAACACAAAGAGGATAGAAAGATGAATGGACACACGGGATAATCTGAAAGGATGAATGTTTGAATGAATGCATAGATGGATAAATGGAACGACCACACAGAAAGAAAAATCTGAAAGCATGATGCATAAATAATAAAGTCAACAACCAGTGTGCAACTGATAACTAGTAAAAAAAAAAAAAAAATTTATTGGTTGCAAAACATCAAAGAATCAGTTATTATAAAATGTCCCATTTAACTGCATCAACATGGAGAAAAAAAAAACTTTCACACTGCTAGAAGTTCACATCATGCAAGTAGCTACAATAACATTAAACCTCCTGTAAAGCACTTAGATTAAACTTGTTAGCAGTAATGCAGTTGTTCTCAGAGAAGGGGAGAATAACCCTAATTTCTGTTCCTACTTTAATAAGACTGCAAGGATAAAAAAAAAGAAAAGTTTTTGCAACAAACACTCAGTTGAAAAAGTAGTCCGTTATATTTAGTTGACCCAATAACATCAGCAGACTGCCTCAGAGACCGTACCATAAGAATGTGGATGATACATCCACTAGACATGGAAATATACTGATTTAATTCATGTGAGTTTATTTAAAAAATCGCAGAATAATAAGATATAAAGAGGAGAGACTGCCACCTCCTCACCATAACTCACAGTGCTGCACCAAGGACACCGAATCCAGTGCTACCATGGTAATAACAGGCAACCACAACCTTGCATCAAATGTGTAATGCTTTCTTCAAACCCTCACAAACTCAAAACGGCTGTCACTGATTTCTCATCACAACCAAGATGACCTCTATTCATGAAAAGGGCCCTTTCATGAATATATGTTTAAGTACTCATGATACACAGCATTTACCACCATATACTTTCCATCTGGGGGGAAATTAATTAATTTTATTTGAAGAAATATTTTCTAAGGTAAGTTAAAAATCTAAATTGATTAGTCTAATAAATGTATATGGCTATTATTGCTATTTTTGTCTGACTGGTATAGTTAAAGTAGTAACTTCAAGGGTTTTATTTCTTAAAACACATACAGAATTTGTTTTTGTTTTTTTGGTTGGCTTTGCTCTAATGATCCATAAAAAGAGAAAATCCTTTACCTGAGGAGCCGCAATGTTGAGTCCAGGGTTGGCCAGTTCAAACCTCTCCTGGGATTTCTCTCTGGCAAGACGAGCCGCCTCCTTCACCTCCTTAAACTGCTCTGCAAACTTCAGGTGGAGTAGGAAGAGAGGAAGTAGTTAAACTCTGAATCATTAAAATTGAACGAGACTACTGTATTGATGGGGAATCTGTGCTAACTTTGTGCTTATGCATCACATAGATTAAAATCCAGGTTCTGCAGCAGAAGTAAAATATAAAAGGTCACATCATAACTATAAATTAATGACCTAGAGGGAAGCTTCCTTCAGAAAAACTGGACATTGGCATAAATAAAAGGTCAAGTTTCAAACATAAAATATGCCTTAAAGGAACAAACCTTATATGTCTACAAGATGTTTTATACAAAGCATATTTTAAGCATGTGAGTCTCCTGAAATGCTGCCACAGTCCTCATGAAAACATCGTTACAGGTTCAGCACCTGTCCATCAATACCTGCTGCAGCTGCTGCTCTGTGGAGAAACCCAGGCCATAAACGGTGTTCGCCCGGCTGTCTGCCCACTGGCCAAACTTCTGAGATGTTTTGGTAAACGTCATGTTGGGGGTGATGGTGCTGTTGATGATGGCCTATTGACGCATATTTAAATGTCAACGTTATTCTCTAATATCCATAGAGCAGAGAAGTAAAATAACAAATTAAAGCTAAACACACCAGAGACTCATAAACATTTTCTCTTGATGGCCAAAAGTACATTTATTTTGATAATTAGGGCTCACTGTTCATTAAAAATGTCAGTCTCTCAGACAACTTGATTATTAAAGACATATAAAACATCCTTTTTGAAACAGAAAGAATGGCCGTATAATGGCGACACATTCTTTGCAATCAGCACGTCTGAAGTTCCTATTGCTTGATTAACTGCCTCCATGCAGAGTGGCATGAAGGCAATCAGCCTGTGGTTCTATTGAGGTGTAATGGAAACTCGGGTTTCTTTGATAGCAGCCTTTAGGGGGTCTGCATTGTTTGGTCTCTTGTCTCTAATCTTCCGCTTGGCAATAGAACATAGACTCTATATGAGGTTGAGGTCAGCGATACCTTAGTCATTAAAACGGTTGTCTGCACTTTAACAGAGTGGGAGGGTGCCAAGTTCTGCTGAAAAATACAATCAGCATCTCCAGAAATGGTTGCAGTAGGGGCATGCATGGAGTGCTATGAGGTTTCCTGCACTGTTTCTTGAGGATCCAGTGGACCAATATTAGCAGATACCATGGCTCCTGAAATCATCCCTGAATGTACTCTGCAAAAACATTCTGAAAATGAGTAAAAACTTCTTTAAATAAGTGTATTTACCCTTAATTTGAGTATGGAAAATAAGATGATCGGCTAATAGAATGAGCATTTTTAACCTTAGAATAAGATAATTTTACATTATGCACTTGAAATAAGAGACTGCTGTTGTTTTTTCTTATTTCAAATGTAAATTGTCTTGTTCCATTGGCATGGTGTCTCACTTACCTGCTTAATTGCAGAAAAAATTTACTTATTTTAAGAAAAAATTACTTACTTAGATTTACATTTTTTGCAGTGTTCTTCTTTCTTCTGCATGTTGTTGTTTTTTATTCTTCTTATGCATTCTTTTTTTTTTTTTTTTTTAAAAAAGAAAGGTTTGGATCAATGGAGAAAAATTCCACTATTTCTTCTGTTTAGGCCAGATGTGATGATTCCAACATGATCATTGGCTTAAGGCAAGGCTAAAAGACCAGGAATGCAACAGCTGTAGCTGACGTACAGCTGAAGCTCAGTCTACACCTTGTGAGTTTACACTAGTTTCTTGAATGGACTTTTTCTCACCATCCGCTCAAGACCTTATTTATCCTTGGTGTATCCCCTGTTGCTTATCAAATTGGTTATAAACCCCAAAAAGACATAAAATCATCATAAATGTGTTGCATGTCACAGGTACAAAGCATTATAATAATAATCAAATTGCTCATCACAATTTAGGAGCTGCAAGCAGACATTAGTACCAAACATGGATGCAAAAAAGGGAGAGAAAAAAAGATTTTTTCGCCCCCTATAAAATCCTCAAGAGAATTCAGTCATTTCAGATGGATTTGTTGCCAAAATAACTTCTTTAGTCTCTACTCCAAAAGCCTCTAGTCTCAGAGGAGAAAAACTGGCACAAATGTCTTTTGTTTTCTCCATGTTCCACTAAGAAGACATTCTGCTGGAGTCTCAGGTGCTTTACACCATCGCAATAGATGCTTTAACTAAGAGAAAGTAGGTTAGAAATATTCTTTTGATAACCTGTATATCCTAATAGTATATTCCTACCGTTTGAGGAGAACAAAATTAGCCTATAATAGAATAAAATATAAAATAACATTGCTGATAAATAAATGCATGTTATGAGTGTCTATGTGTGCTAATGATGTGCTGGGCTCTCACCTTAGTCCCGCCCACACTGATGATGCGGTAGACGCTGCGGCTTGCATCATAGAAGAAGGACACGGTGACAGCATGCTTGCTGGCTGGCAACCAGTTACGTTTGGTCGCCGGGTCGATCTGGAAGACATGGGCTCGGGTGCTGAAGATGGGCTGCTCCCTTTAAAGAACAGGGATGAATACAAGTCACAGTTTATAAAGGCTAGCATGGCAAATGTTGGAGGAATGCAAAGAAACCACATGTATATAAGAAGCTTTGGATTATCCTGTTATATTGTCATCAGACAGCATATTCAATAAATAAAAATCTATATTTATAGGTTTAAAAAAAATGGATTTCAAAACAACCTACATCCAAATAAAATAATTTATTAAGATTTTCTGGAGAAACTAAATTAAACACAATACTATAATAATAAAAGTCCTATTTCTGTTGCCTTAACAGTGTCATATTATCTTAAGCACACAGAAGACAGTCTACAGGCTGCCACATCAGAGCTCATATTTAAAGTTAACACAATATCATTAATGTTTTCCAATGACCCTGAGCCATTGAAGGCAAGAGGAAAAAATTGTTTATTTTGGTGCGGAGAAGCTTTGCTAACCTCTAGCAGTCCAATTAGCCACTGTGCTCCACATTAAGACAAACTACAAACACTGGCTTTGGGATGAACGATATCCAGAGATGCGCAGAACACTGAAGGACCCACAGAGGCCCTCTGGTGAATTCATGCAACATTACACAGCTAATAGTGTTTGCACAATGTCAATGCATGCAATGAGGCACAGCTTCTTCTGCTACAGATATGTGCCAACATTAGGCTGATAATATGAACTGGGAAGCGGCCTTCCACTGAGGAGGAGAAAACACAGTTTTTATGGGTCAGCACCGCCTATATAAGGAATCCTTCGAGGCAGATTTCATAGGAATTACAGCTCATTTGCATTTAAACAATAGTAGTTATTGTTTCTGTCACAATTGACAATAGACAATAGCAACTGAGCCAAGAAAACGGATTTAGATGGTGTTATTCAGGTTGAGCACAGCTGTAGCCATGGAATAACAAATATAACTAACTTTTGATACCAGTTCATTCAACTTCCTCCAATAATTACATAAAAAACAAGAGGCTGTCTGTCTTGTCTCATTGTGCTACCAAACAATAACCTCAGGCATTCATGCACATTGAGTAAAACGACTCATAACCCTTAATGTCCAACGTTATACCAGCATTCTTTTCTTTCACTAAAACTTGTAACACTGCTATCTTAATATTAAGTCACAACTCATAGGATCGGGTAAGCTTGTGGGAACTGTAGACTTGGTTTCTTGTTTACTCAGTGAGTTTTTCTGCAGCTGTAGCCCATCTGGTCCAGCGTGATGTGATTATTCAGATGATAAAGACTCAGACAAGTCTACCTATTCTCTTTTGACCTTTGACATCTACAGCTCACTGGATATTTTATATTTTTCCCATTCTTCTCTGTAAACTTGAGATATGATTGTTGAAGAAAAATCCCTGTAGTTTCTGACACACTCAGGCTGGCACCAACAACCAGGCTATGTTTAAAGTCTCTTAATTCACCTTTCATCTTCATTCTGATGTTTTGTTTGAACTCCAGCAAGTTGTCTAAAAGCACAGAGTTGTTGACATATCTACCTTATAAAGAATTTAGTTTTTTTTCCATTAAAAAAAGAGTTGAGGAAATTTGCAGCATGTTTTAGAGCTACATTTATTGAACTCAACATACACAAATTTGTTCTTATAAGTGTAAGTAATTTATTTATTAGCTATTTTTACTGTGTTTCAGGGTGGTGCAGTGGCCTGGTTGTTCTCCCTTGGCTCTTTGAGGAAGAATGGCTTCAAGTTGCACAAAAGTGTTGATTGTTGTATGAATATACTTCTGGTTGAGCCCTCCTCCTTCTGCAGTTTAACACACAACTAAGCAAACTCTATCATCACAAATACTCCCTTTGCAACAAACAAAAACAACAAGCTTTTTAGCTTTAAACTTATCAGAACAAGTTAGAATATTAAATAAAGGCATGCTTTAGAGTCTCTACACTCATCTCTAACGATTTATAATTATTAATTTAGTTGATGATTTCAATAATCTATTAATCACGATTAATCCGATTAATTGTTTCAGCCCCACTGTGAACACCACAGCTGGGCCCATTCAAGCAATTGAATATGATATAAAGAAATGAAATCTTATTCGAGTCCAATGAAGAGAAACTGAAGTCTTAACACCATTGAGTCTTTGTGGCTCATGACAAAAACTACACCTATACTGTCAGGTAAAAAACAAAACCGTACAAAAGCATTTGGAAGGACTGTGTCTCCCCTCTCACCCTGAGGCACAGTGCTGTCTCCTATGCTTACAGAAATTTATAACATTGAAGACAGGCAATGTAGGGCCTACTTCAAAGACCCACCATCAATTCTGTTTCTCAAAAACCAAGGGTCGCAGGACTTTAGACTACATTACTTCTGGCTCCATTGCATCACCTATAGAAGCAACAGGTCTGTAGATGATGGCCCTTTATTGCATCCTGCAGCTCCTGGACTCCTCTGGAACCTAAAGAATCCTGTTTGTGGACTTCAGCTCTGGTTTCAGCACCATCCTCCCATCCCTGCTACAGGATTAACTCTCCCAACTGAGCCAGCTTCACTCTACCTGCATGCGGATCACAGGCTTCCTGACAGACAGGAAGCAGCACTTAAAGCTGGGGAAACAGGTCTCTGACCCCACCAGGTCGCCTCATGGCTGTGTTCTTTCCTCTTTGCTCTTCTCACCGTAAACCAACAGCTGCACCTCACATCACTGTTAAGCTTCTGAAGATTTAGGATGAACAACGCCCCCATTGGGCTCAACTGTGAGAGTGATGAGTCAGCCCACAGGTGGGAGATTGATTATCTGGTGACCTGGTGCAGCCTGAACAGTCTGGAGCTAAACACTGTGAAAACAGTGCTGGTTATATGCTTTAGAAAGAACACAGCTCCATCCACCCAATCATACTGTGTGACTCTCCAGATGCCATCATGGACTCCATCCACCTCCTGGGCTCCACAATCCACCAGGACCAAATGGGGAGCTGATCACCACCTCTCTCAACAACAAGGCACATCAGGTAAGACTGAAGCGGACCCCCAGGGCCCAGGTCCACCAGACTCTATCCCATTTGGAAAAATAAAATAAACATAAACATCTCAGCACATGTTTATATTATTGCAGTTGTATGTTTTTAATATCTGCTGTGGTCCTTTCCCTCTCTCATAAGCTGCACTACTCGTCTCTTTTCTCATAATATTCCTTTACACTTTCATTTGTTTATTGCAAATGATATATTTCCCAATTTATTTTTATAAACATTATGTTTGTCCGTGTGTAATTCCTAATTCCTCCAATGTGTAAAACATTATTTGGCAATAAAATTATTTGGACATCTGATTCTGAAATGAGGATTATAAATACCACTAGATGTATGCATATGTATGAATGACTGTTCATCCTGTGATGCCCAGGGATGCAGTAACTTAGAGATAGGAAGAGACATATTCTTTGTCTCAATTTTCTTCTTACAAACAAAGCTAAATGTCCTTATTTTCCTTCCTTCCTTTTCTCTGGATATTTTTTAAAATATTATCATGTTAACGGTCAAATAGTACCAAATCATACCAAACTGACCATGTAGCTCCTGCAGCTAATTAACCACAGTCTTTTTTAGAGGAAAGTTTTTTGAACAATGAACAGAAAAGCAATTAACAAAGACAAAATTAATACTTGGAGGACAAATAAAAATGTGCAATTTATTTATTATATATTATTCTGTTCATTAAAGCTTCAAGTTCACTTTGTGTTTGTTCTTCCGTCAGTTTATGGTTTCTGGTTTCATGCAGTTAGAAATTGAAATGTGGTTTTAATCTTCTCCCGATGTTGTATCAGTGTGTGTATGCCCGGAAACATTAGAGGCCATTCTCAGCATGATCACACCCGAATCACCAATAAGGAACAACAACATCCAAAGCAATAAGGAGAACAATTCACTGCAATTAGACCCAGAGCAGCAGAAATATCATCAAACATCTCTTTGTGTCCTCAAGATGCAGTGGAACTGGAATACTTAGGAATAGGAGTGAATAGATAGAACAGATGAATGCCGCACTTTAAAATACAATGCACTTATTTGTCTTTTTTTGCTAAACCACTTAGATAATCTCTTCTAATCATAAAAAGCTAATATACAACTAAAAGAAGCTAATTATGGGAACGTTTATTGGCTTTTAAGAGGTAATTGTAACCAAAACCCATACATTGCAGTTTAATAGGAGCATTCTGTTCAAATATTCGCTTCATGAATTATTGAATGAATAAAACTGGAAAGGTCATGGTGTTCTCCAATAGCAGTTTTCATGGGAACAAAGATTATGCCTGAATTCAAAACAATAGATCTGAATTGATCACTTTTTTCAACTTAATTAAAGTAATACTCTGGCTGCACCACAAATAAAGACGACAATAAACAAATAAACCAGAATAAGCAGGAAATCATCAAGAGTAAAGCAGCTTTTGTCAGGATTTCCCTCCTATCATATTCACATCTTAATGAGAAGCGATGAGTGACTGCTCGACAGCCGTCAAAGAAATTAATTGGCTCGCTTGCAACGTCACAGTGAAAATGCCCGACAAGCTAATCAGCTCAGACAGGAAGCGGCATGCCGAAGTTTGATGAAATGAGCAGATTAAAGCTGGATTAACGTCCTCCTGAGGTAAGCACAGCTGCCTGTCACAGACTCCTGTTCAAGCATAATCCAGTGTAAGGCAGAATAGGAAAGTCTACAGATCTACAAAGCTTTACTTTATGAAGAAAAACTTTATCTAACTAATTTACATCTGTGCAGCCATTTACCATATCACATGCTCTAATTTGGAAGTTATGCTTCACTGGTTAGAAGGATACAAAGCTAGATTTTTAAGTTCCCTAAAGCAGAGTTAAGGAAACAGTTCAGTTTAAAGCAATCAGCATGAATGTTACTTAAAAGCTGGGCTTTTTGAATTCATGTTATCTTTTAGTTTTGTCTAGTCATACAGAGTAAAATTTCTAGACACAAATTATCTCCAATCTACAATGGGGATTAGATGTGCGAAAACAAC